TGCATTGTTAAATTAGTAAACGGAATATAACAGACGAAATATTTGGTAAATAAAAGTAGTTTTCACAATGGTATTGATGACACTCAGATCAATGTTAATTTAACGTGAGACATTTCCCTGGATTTGAGTATATGTGTATGCGGTGACATTTGGTATTTTCAGACTAACTAAGATTTTAATTTGTACGTGTATTTGCGGCATAATATTCAACTCATATGAACTTGTTCTTACTTACTTACTTGGTTAGTTACGCCAGTTACCCCCAATGGAGCATAGGCCCCCGACCAGTATTCTCCAACCAACTCCGTCCTGCGCTCCCCTTTCCAATTCTTTCCAATTTTTGTTCATTCTTCTCATGTCTATCTTCATTTCGCAAAGTAATGTGCTCCTTGGCCTTCCTCTTCTCCTTTGACCTCCAGGGTTCTGAGTGAGGGCTTGTCATGGAGGCGGTTGGGTGATTTCCGCAGTCTGTGTCCTATCCACTTCCATTGCTTCTTCCTGGTTTTCTCCTTCATCAGAAGCTGGTTTGTTTTCTTCCATAGTTGGTTGTTGCTGGTTGTGTCTAGCCAACGAATCCGAAGTATTTTGCATAAAAAACTCTTATTAGTACTTGTATCTTCTGGATGATGGCTTTCGTAGTTCGCCAAGTTTCCACTCCATATAGCAGAAATGTCTTGACATTTAATTTGAAAATCTTGTTGTTGGTCTTGGTTGACAGTTGTTTGGAGTTCCAGGGATTTTGTTTTGAAAACTCCAGTTTTGGTGTTGATCGATAATTGTTTGCAATTCCAATGTTGTTCACTCGTAGAAACACCGCAATTGCTTTGCTGATCCTCACCTTTATATCTGCACCGGGTGCGTCTTGATTGTCGATGATAATGCCTAGATATGTAAAGCTTTTAACGTTATACAAGGCATCTCCATCAACAGTGATTTCGTTGGTGCATGTTGTGTTGTGTAGTAGTGAATTATAATAATTTACGTCAATCATTATTGCTTTGTGTTCTACTCAATCTATCAGTTAACTAGTGAGAACAAATTATAAAGGTATTTGTATCCTTTCATCTGACTGACTTCCCACTGCCTGAATACTAAGTTTGGTAACGCTTAAAGTTTATATCGCCTATCATTCGATCGTCTGATGAATACTGGAATATGGTTTATGACTACCAAGATATTATTGTAGGCATAGACAAAATAGTAAGCTGTACATCATTTCTAGTTGTTCATTTTCAAAAACTTAGTCCAGATATTCAGTTGTTTTCAGTTTTTTCAAAGTTTGACTATGAAAACTTAATCGAAACCTAATGACATATCAAAATGATCTTTGATTATACAATTGTTAGGATGAGTTTTATTTGGTGAGATGAAAGTAAGAACATCTTTTTTGGGAGGGGATTTTATCATTGTTATTGTTATTATTTCAGACACGATATATTTCAAACTTACATTTAAATATAAATGGCATTAAAATAACCAGAAATTGATCAGCAGACATTAATAATTTTTTGTTATATCAAGTTATCTATGTTTTTTTGGAGACTAAAAACATTCTACTACATCGACACATTTATACCACATACTTTTGATCAGAAATTAGCATATTATGTTGCATGATAGATGAGAAGTAAAGAAAAAAAATAAACCCACAGTTATTTTAAGAGATTAGCCTGATTTTACTTTCTAGTAATTTAAAAAAAAAAATTTAAAACCCATTACACAGTATGATAACAACTAATCTAAAAAAACCTCATTAGTCATTAAAAAAAATGCTTGGAAATATTCTCTTACTGATTGATGCTTTCACTGAAATCATCAGATTTCAGTTAGGCAATATATTTTTGGCATTAAAAATATATCTTAGTGTCTCATTCAATTCAGATTAAAGCTGAAATGTTTCATTTTTCAATAAGAGCATTTTATATTATTGAAAACATTAACAACGTTTACTTACTTGGGCCTATAACCCTCAATTGAGCATAGGCCGCTCACCACCATTTTCTGACCTACTCTGTCCTAAGCTCTCCTTCCTATTTGTTCCCTATCATTATTCTTTCCTTTCATGTCTGCTTCTGATTCTCAGCGTAGTATGTTCCTTGCCCTGACATTTTTCCTTTGATATTAAGGATTCCATGCAAGAGCTTGTCTTGTGAGGCGATTGGCTGCTTTTCTCAATGTGTATCCTATCCACTTCCACCGCTTCTTCCATATTTCTTCCTCTGCTGTAATCCAGTCTGTTCTCTCCCACATTAGGTTGTTGTTGATGACGTCTGGCCAACAGAAGAGACTTAATTTCCGTAGACAACAGTGTTGATGTTAGTATAAAAAATTTTGAATTTTGTGTTGGCTGATAGTTGTTTCAAGTTCTAGATATCTTTTGATGATAGAAATGGTGTCCTTGCTTTGTTGATGCGTGTCTTTACATCAGCTTCAGATCCACCTTGCTCATCCATTATGCTGCCCAGATATGTAATGGTTCCTAAACCTTTAGGAGCTTCTCCATCAAGTATGATTCCGTTGGTGCATATGGTGCTGTATCGAAGGATCTTGTTTTTCCCGTGTATATGCTGAGGGCTACTGCTGAATAGGCTAATGCTACACTGGCTGTCTGCTCTTGGATTTGTTGTTGCGTGTGCGGTGGAAGAAGGGGATCATCTGTGAAGTCTAGATTGTCCGGGTACATCCGAGTTGTCCTCTATAGTCCGTGCTTCCCCTGAGATGTTGACGTTTTTATAATCCAGTCAACCACCAGGAGAAAAAGAAAGTATGAGAGTAGGCAATCTGGCCTGACACCTCTCTTCCTTTGTTTTGAGTCTGTGAGCTTCACGATTTCACTGTTTAATGCATCATAAGAATTTCTTATGTTATTGACTTTCATCTCACATTTACACGTTAATGTCAAAGAAGCCTCCATAGTGTTGTCCTTTCCATGCTGTTAAATGCTTTCTAGTAGACAATAAAATTGATGTAGAGTGTGAACTCCATTCAGTCGATCGTTCCGCAATTATCCGTAATGTCGCAATTAGGTCCTTACGGAATTAGACTTACTGATCTCAAAGTTGGGTGTCTACTGAAACTATTGCAAACTTTTCGTTGGTATTCAGATAAAAGTGATGCCTTCGTAGTCCTCACACTTGCTTAGACCTCCTTTCATCGGTATCTTGATGAGATATCGTTCTTTTCAGTCTGTTATATTACCGAAAACCTTACAAGGGAATTTCTAAATGGGTGAAGAAGTGTGATTATCAACTATATTCAAAAACGAATGTATATGATTATGAATTTTTTGTAAAAAAAACCTACTGTGTTGACTAGTTTATAATTAAGAATGTTAACTAAATAATTTGAAAATTAAAGGTAGAAGTAAAATATTTACAGAATTTAAATAAGCATTTCATTGATCAACCCTCAAGTTCCATTAGTCAACTTTTCTGGAAAAACTGAACGCTGCACAATGCACACTGCATAAAACACATTTCAGATAGCTAAACTAAATATTTAAGTTGCTAGTAACTTATTTGAAAATTTACAAAATGAAAATAAACGTTTCAACAATAGTTAATAAATTATCTCATCGCAATTTTTATAGACTAATATATTGCCGTTGACTAAATTTCCAAGGAAAAAAATTACAGTTTAGAAAAGAAATCATAGTTAAGTGAAAAATTGTTTTCGATAACTTCTTCAGGCTTTCTACTGATAAATTCATAAGTCTTGACTGTTGGGGACGTTAGATCCCCAGAACTCGCTTCATAAATGCCTTATTTTGGATTATTTGTTTTCGAGCATGGGCTGATCGTTTGACCTTGAGATCTCATTTCCCAACAGGAGAACCTTTGGCTGTGATTGGCTGCTGTGTATTTTAGTGTGCTATTTTTATAACTCTCCCAACGACGTCTCTATGACGTATAAATAGACGAGATTTGTGTGTTTGATTGCATCGTGCTTTCTAGGTGTTTGTAGAATACGCTTTCTACGCTATATCAAGACTTTTTGATTAAGTCTTTTGGGTGATTTGATCAGAGTAGCCTACCTGGACACTGGTTCATTGTCTCGTTCTAGTTTATGGACTAAGGTGAACCCGTAATAGTTTCAAGCATACCTAGTGACGAGCGTAACATGACACACTAAACGCCATGTTAAGGCATGTGTATAAACATTACGGCTGATGAATTTCATTTCAACTGAATCTCAAATACTAACGATCTGCATTTGTGGTACTGTTATCATGTCAAACAAAATAATTTAGAAAACCCTTTACTCGACTAGATTATGAATTCCACTTAATAAATTGAAATAATATACAAAAAATTAACATGAAGTTGCAAATGTTTGTTCTCTTTTTCGTAATGATAATCAGAGTTAACAATATTAACAATATTAATCTTACGTGAACTAAGAAAGATCAATGCGTAGTTAAGAAAACGTATAAGCCATAGCGGAGGAGTTCACCTCTGTAATAAAAAGAAGAGATGTCAAGTCTATAATGTGTGCTGATAAAGCCAATAAGATTAGCAAAGGGATAACTTTATATATTAGGCTGAAGTAAACGAGTCGTTTAGATATTATCTATTTCGTACAGATAAGTTTGATTTCGCCTACTCGGTTACCAATTAATTCTGCTATGTTGAAAAAGAATACACTTGTGTCATTCCAAAAACGTACCTAAGAATTTCGATAGAACTGAAAAGGACACGAATAGCAGCATTTCATCAGTATATCATGCATGCCATTATAACCTGTCAAATTTAAGCCCCTATCATTATTGATATTATCACATAGATTAAATTTCTATTGACCAAACGTTTTGTTGTCACTTTAGATCTCAGTTTACATGTGTCATTAAATACAATCCCAATACAGAATTATGGACGAAAGTATACTTATGACATACATGATTGCTAATTTAAGATCCCATTTTATGTAAAAATAATTCTGTTTTCAGATAAAGCAAAAAAATTGTCATTTTTATATCTTTCTGTATATCTTTAATTTTGTAGAATGCCAGTGGAACATCGTCAGAATAAAAATTATACATCAGCTCGTCTTAGTTTCGGTGATTTATCTCACACCATAGGACGTCATCATATGTCACCACATTATAATACACATAATGCATCGGATCGTCTTTATCAAATAGCTATACAAGCTGCAGTAGCTAAAGCAGAAGCGTCTAGATCTACAACTGATGAGATTCATAAATTAGATCATGAAGATAGTATACATAAATTCAAAGCCAATCATACAACACATACTTTGACTGATAATAATAATAATAATAATTATTATTATCATACTATTCCAACAACTACTACAACAGCCACAACAACTACAACTTCCACAAATTTATCATCTAAAGTTAAAACGGTACATTTAACACCACAACAATGGCAATTATTAACTGATTATCATGAACATGATTTATTTGTACGTACAAGAAGTTGGAGTTTTTGTATGGCAGTACTAGGTGTCGGTGTAGCATTGTTTGGTATTGCTAGTCCAGCATGGAAATGGATTGGAGATTGTAAGTTTCTGTTTATTGATTGTAATAGTTAGTTGAGATTAATTTTACAGTTCTAATTGACTGTTGGGGACGTTAAATCCCTGGAACTCGCTTGATAAATGTTTTTATTTTGGACTTTATTCAAGGACTGATCAGTTGACCTTGAGATCACATTTCCCACCAAGAAAATCCTTGGCTGTGATTGGTTGATGTGTTATTTTAGTGTGCTATTTTCGTGACTCTCCCAAGGACATCTCTATGATGTACAAATAAACGCGATTCATGTACCTGAGATCATTGTATTTGCTGGGTGTTTGTAGAATACAATCTCTACGCTATATCAAGACTTTTTTGTTAGTTCCTTTCGGTCAACAAATCAGAGTAGCCTACCCGGACACTGGTTCATTGTCTTGTTCTCGTTTATCGACTAAGATGAACCCGTAAATACTTTCAAGCATATCAAGTGACGAGCATAACACTGACAATTCATGTAATGATGATATGATTAGATTTCGTTTAATTAGGATTTTTGTAGTTGAATGCATGATTACGTGAACAGATCATTTGTGTCATATTTGAAAATGTTAATTTATTTCAACATACATTATTTATATATTTATCATATTATATTATATTACATTGTCTGATAGTTAATTAATTTAATTAAATTTGATAATTCAGTTTTTGTCACAACTTTCAGTACGAAAAATTACCATGGTTGCATGCCATACTTTCCGTTAAGTGGGTGATGTCATACAACCGTAGAAAAACTTAATAATCTTCTTAGGCTTATAGACCACCCATTTTTTTTTAATTGTACAAGTAGTGCGAATAACCTACTGATTTGGAATGTACGTATTTGATGTACACATTTTGAAACCATGAATCGATCAATGTTAGACCACAATTAGAAAGCTGGAAGCACTGAAAGACGGCAGTTTCGTCCTTGTGTGGGACTCACCAGCAGTGCGAATCCACGACTCCTGCACCCAACAGGATTCGAACTCAGGACCTTTGGTCATGTGCGCGAACGCCTAATCTCTGGACCGCTGAGAGGGTATCTAATGGTGTTAGTGTCTAACTTGATCAATTCACGGAGTTGCGCAACCTCATACACGCTGTCTCCGGTAGTTACTGTCTACACCCGAACATACCGAATGTCTACAAATCGTTGTGAGCTTCAGTACTAGAATACTCATCGAAAATTGCTACAGTTGGTATATTTTTCCCATTCTTAAATAAAGTAATAAAACAATAGACGATTACACTAGAAGTTGTACTTCTGATTTATGATGTTTAGGAGAGGCATATGTAGCAGCTAAACTCGTAAAAAAATATTGGTCATTGAACATTGTTAGGGACCTCAGATCCCCAGAACTCACTTGGAAAAAGTCCTAATTTTGTAATTTATCTCTGAAGTTTTAGATTTCTATGTTTTTGCGCCAAGAGACTCTTAGTTGACCAACAGCTTACATTTCCCACTCGGAAAATCCTTGACTTTCATTGGTTGACGGACTCTTTTAGTACGCTATTTTGTGGCTCTCCCAAGAGTGTCTCTTTCAGTGTATAAATAAACTTGATTTGTTTGCTTAGCAACCTCATATTTTCTAAGTGCTTGTAGAATACACTCTCTATGCCTTATCAAGTTTTCTTGATCTAGTTAGCCAGGGCTGGGGCAAACGGATTAGAAAAGCCTATCATGCCACTGAGTCATTACTTTAGTTCCGTTTACCGAGTAAGGTGAATACGTAATAGCATTCAAGCAAATCAGTCGACGACCATATCAACTAGTGACGGCAGTTTTTGAAACATTGATCTTTCTAAACTTGAATTATTACCTGAGCAGCGGCTAAAACTAATACACATGTTGACAGATATAAAGATTAGTAGCAATTACTATTTAGAAATATGGTATCAAATACATTTTCGACAGCTTGTTATCCACAATGCATTTCAAGCAGACATTTATCGTAGTGTGGCACAACTGTAGCTGAGAGTTTCTTAAGTTAGTATTGAGTCAAGCTTATAAGAATAAGAATTATTTTTAAACTTCGTTAAGTGCTTGTTGTAAACCAGTAACTAAGGTTCTATCTCTTCAGTTACGAAGAGGGTGCTGCTCTTGTAAGTGTGCCGATTTCGAGGTGTTCTTACGTTTCGTAATCAGCTCGTTCAGACAATCGTTACTAAATGGCGTCTGACGGTTAATAAATCAGAAGATGAATTCGAAGTATTGGATACGTTTATTGTGGCACACCACAATAAGGGATAGTAGACCACAGGCAGACCGAGTAGACACACTAGCGAGCGAATATGCGAATGGGCGAATGTGTTAATAAGATTAAAATGTTCGTATATATACGTAGGAAAATGTCTGAGTCATCGTGATATTTAAGAGATCAATATTAAAACGAATAGGATGCATATGCGCGTAGGCATTAAGCAATGCTAAGTCATACCAGCTCATACAAACCACACAATAATGAAAGCCAATGGTACATATAAGTTATTGCTTTAAAAATGGCTTGTTTAAATAAATTAATCAAACGGGCTTAACCAAATTAAATGTAAGTGGACCCGAATATACATGGAGGCACTACACTCTTAACTTTGCTAAAGAAATTTAAAGTTTGTGTAAGATGGAGTGATTAGATCATGAAATAAATAAATATCTTGTTCTATGTTAAGATATATACTGTATGATTTGTTATCTTGTGTTTATCCAATCTTTTGAAGCTCGGAATCCTTATGAACTTGGTTTATGGACCTTGTGTTTACCGAACAATTCCACTTGTCTTTCAATAATCTATCATTTACAGAATAATTGGAGTAAGTCTGTCAATAAATATATATATGTATAGATATGCAATTCTTTTTCGGATTTTTTTTCACTCCCTACCATCTGTTTCTCCTTGTGACACAAACATGGCGTTTTGACAAGTTGGAGTATATGCTTGATAATGAAAACATGATCATTTTCCGCTTAGATGTTGAGTTTCTTTTTTTAAAAAAAATCAGATAAACGTTGTTCACCACATATTCTTTGCATAAATTAGTATGAGAAAATGTTTTCAATTGGGTAACTTTTCACTAGTCAAATGATTCGACTGGTTCAATATTGACAGTGGTTACGTAGTAGCTTACTTGTATTTCGACATAAAACACAATAATAAGTTAGTTATGTTATAAATTTCTCAAAGGTTAATGACAAATTTATTGAAAAAGAATAACTGGTTGAAATATTCTTTGATTGCAAAATGTATTTTAAGCAAAAGAAATCTTAGTTTTAGCCCAGTTAATGAATACAATATTATTATAGATGGAAAACAACACATCCCGTTATGGTCCTGTCACAACAGCATTAATCACTGCCTTAATACTAACAATGAGATAGTTACATGATGAATAGGATACATTATTTTCAATTAGTATTATGGAAATTAGTGTTTTTACACATTTAAAATCATCAATCAATCAATCATTGTTAGACCACCAATAGAAACCTGGAAGCACTGAAAGACGGCTGTTTCGTCCTGGCATGGGACTTATCATCAGCAGTGCGCATTCACGACTCACGCAGTATTCGAACATAGGACCTTCAGTATCGTGCCTAACCTCTGGACCACTAGGCCGGCATCCAACAGTGATAAGTGAAGGATACATTCACTGACTGACTCATACTTACTTACCGAATTCAATTTCACTATGACTAATACTGAAAGCAGAGCACTAAAATTTCAGAATACACTATCTATCTCTTTTAAATGCTTCATTAGGAGATGTTAGTCTAATAGTTCGATCAAATACAATTGTCCAATGAATCAAAATATCAGTCAACTTGTGAAAATCAAATCAATGTTCTCACTTAACACAGACTATTCTTTTCATGCTGAATTATAGTAGTAAGTACTAGTTATGAATAAGCGAATTTTATTCATTAACATCTGAAAACCATTTAATTACTTCATTTCGGAATAGTTTAATCACTTTAGCCTTTTATAATGTACTTCGCCTAAATAATTACTAGAAATGTGTGTGTTAGTTAAAGCTTCTGCACAGATTTTAGAGCATTTTAATAATTTGCCTAAAGTAAATTGAATGTATGATATACTTCTGTGTTGGGGACTTTAGATCCCCAAAACTTACTTGGATAAGATCCTAATTTTGGATCGTCTACGTTTCCGCGCATAAGTCACCCAGTTCACCTTGAGATTACATTTCCCACTCGGATAATCGTTGATTGTTATTGGTTGATGTATTATTTTAGTACGTTAATTTTGGGGCTCTCCCAACGACGTTTCTATCATGCATTATTAAGCTCGATTTGTGTGCTTGTCAACCTCATATTTTCTGGCTGCTTGTAGAATACACTTTCTACGCCTTATCAAGACTTCTTACTATAGTTAGCAGGGTCAGGAACGATCGAATCAGAATAGCCAACCGTGTCACTGCATCATTTCTCTTCGCTCTCGTTTACCGAGTAAGGTGAACTCGTAATAGCATTCAACCATATCAATTGACGAGAGTATCATTTAGCCCTCATATAATTAAAACATATGAATCTTTAAATTTCTTATGAAAAGTAACTTTGGTGTTATTATGTTCAATAATCAATGAGTGATTAACAAAATGACAAAGTTAAATCATTATTAAATGGATTATTTGCATTTAATTATAACTTAAATATCATATTACTGAACTGAATCACATTTCACACATGAATGTTTGAAACTTTATCAATGAATTGTGATTTATCCCAACAAAACTTATATCAGTAAATATTAAGTGAAGTGCCTGATGTTTGATTAATTTAGTGATGAATGATTATGCCGACAGAATAACATTTATCAAATTAATTCATACATAATAATATGTTAAACACTGATTATGAATGTTACTGTATTCATAGAATACATGCTGATTTTGTCCAGTTTAACTGTAGTAGATACATTATGCTAATGATAGTAGTTTAAAAAAAAACACAGATGATCAATATCGATCGACATTGGGTTATTCAATGAACTGTGAAATATATATGCAACAGAGCATTCTGTTCACTTTCAGACTAGAAGCTATATTATTACAATAAAAAGTTGAAATTTCTTTATCAAGTGTTTAGTAATTACAAAAAAAGACACATCAATGTATTTATTGCATAATTATCGTGTAAATTTATTTGTTTTAATTTTATTTTTCTGCTTACAGAACTTCATATATCGATCATATGTTTGCTGGGTTGTGCTTGTTTATTTGGTATGTTAGGTTTGGGTTTGGCTATTACAGGTGTATGTAAAAGTGCCTTAATTCTTAGACTTTATTATTATCATTCAGCTGGTGAATGTTTTCTAGTTTCAAGTAAGTTTCTAAAAGTTTGTGAGTGAATTCAGTAAATGATTGTAATTAGTATTGCTTACATTAGATTCTAACTTTGCAGTGGAAATGATTGATTGTACTGTACAGAAGATGACGATTGTCTTTTTTCTGCTGCTCACTGACTTTAAACCGTTTCACGTATGACTTTAAATACTCTGATATTAATTATATTTATATGGTTAGTTTATCTGAAATTCTCTAGTTGAATGAGTATGTTATTCAACTGTATGGTTAATAACCTCACTGTCAAATGTATCAATAAATACATTGGATAGAAGGCTTCAATATTTAATTATCAGTAACCTAATAGTGCATTACATGCGACTTTTCCCATATTTTCATTGAAATCATGAAGCAACCACAGATAGACCACCAGACAGCCATCACCTAGACGGCCGTTTCGTTTTAGTATGTGACTTATCAGCAGTGCACTTCCACGACCTCGAACGTGGGAAAAGAACCCAGAACTTTCGGTCTCACGAGCGAACGCATAATCTTTACACCACTAAGCCGGCATCCAAAAATGTCAAGGTCTAACTTCACTCAATCCATTGTATTGCACGACCTCAGGGATTGTCTTCGGTGGGTAACTGACTGACTCCCGACAGGGCTGAATTTCAGGTTTAATTATCGCAAGGTTCATAGTGGTGCACTGCTGATGAGTCCCATACCAGGACAAAACGGCCATCCAATGCTTCCAGGTATCAAATAATGGTTTAAAATAGATCAATTTTTATGATTTTAATGAAACTCAACAATCTCTTCATCCACATTAATAACATTTTATTTTATTCGTTAAGTTAAAATGACTTGTTATATGAAAAATTGATAAATCTTTTGAATCAGAACTATGGGTTTTTGTTTTACATGCTACAAAGAAATGATAAATTTACTGTGAACAATGATATATTAGTTGTCATTTGTCAGAAAAAGAAAATTTTGAATACTAATCCAATATCAAACGATATGTCACCAAACTAAACCAAACAAATAAATGAAGCTAAGTATTTTGACACCAAAGATATTGAAAGAAAAGAATTTTATAAAAAAACAAGGAAAAAGGGAGAAGAAATATAAATTTTCATTTTAGTTGAATAGTTATACTCTTCCTTGTTATTCTTTACTGGATAATGAAAGTTATAAATCACTATAATCCAAGTCATGATGAGTATCAACTCCATTTGAGTGTAGAATTAAGTGAGACATTGATTGTTTCAAAGAACCATTTGCATTTACTCCGAATGGATGCATGATTGACTGTTACTCGTAGGACACACAGAAATTAATAAAATTAGGTAGTTAAGAGAAGAAATTTATTTATTCTGATTATATTACACGGAAAAATCTATTACTAACATGATAACTCAAAGCACAAGATTAATATTGAAAGGATGTGTTTAAATAGTATGCAGATAAATCTTACTATGATATATACATCTTTCTTTCTGCAGATTACGCAGTTTCTGATCGACCTTCATTAGTGTTGAGGATTGTTTCCAAATTCATGATATTTATGAGTGGAATTTTATCACATCTCTACTACTTTGTCATCCAGAATCTGACAACTTGTCTGAATTTTTTTAACACTCTGCATAACGTTTTGTTGAATGCTTAGACAGTGAAAGTATTTCTCAGTATCTCAAAGATGTATTCGTTCTATGTTCACTTAAATCTAAAAACAGCTAATGATGCCTTTTACAAACAACATACTGTACAACAGGTATGAGCGAATACATTCAACTGATGAAAACATTGAGTTAACTGTCTTTCGATTGTTCAGCCTACGTTCTTAGTTCAATCTTAGATATATTAAGTATTGGGTTCGTCACTATGTATGCTCGAGGCTATTACGAGTTTACCTTAGTCGATAAACGTGAACGAGGCGACTACCAGCGTCCAGGTAGGCTACCTTGAATCCCCAAATAAAATAAGAAGACTTTGTAAGCGTAGAAAGTATATTCTACAAACACCCAGCAATCACATTACAATCAAGCATACAACTCTTGTTTATTTATACATCATAGAAACTTCTTTTGGACAGTCACAAAAATAGCACACTAAAAAACACAGCAGCCAATCACAGCCATGGATTTTCCTGGTAGTAATTGAAATCTCAAGGTCAACTGATCAGCCCATGCTGGCAAACGTGAAAACCAAAATAAGGCATTTATCAAGCGAATTTCTGGGATCTAACATCCCCAACATTAAGTTAACTTCGAAGTATATCACTGAGCAAATATGTTTGTGGAAGAACTATGAAGATGCGATTTCACATCGCTATCAGAATGTTGAATATCAAACTCAGAGGCATTAATTCTGGTCTGAGATACTTTAAAACTACATTCAGCAAAGACTTTTTAATTCTCCATGTGACGTAAGAATATCCACTCAGTGAAAAATAGGATTACAGTTAGCAAAAAAGGCCTCGAATGCTTATGTGTTGGCCAAACATAATTTCATTGATAAACTCTTCTAGAAAAACTGTTTTCATATAAAAATGGAGAGAGCCAACTTGAATGCCTCCATCGAACACTATATAGTTTGAGAAGATTTGCAGTAAGTATAAAAATTCTGTGTCTTACATAGTTGACAAAGGAACATTCAGATTTCATAGGATGTACGCTTATCTTTCTAAGTTCATATAGTAACAGGGTAAATATTGGTATCATCTGGGTTCAAGCTGATTGATCATCAAGGCAGCTAATAAATGCAAATTAGTCATAGAGAAATGAAGCTTTTTTTAGTTTATTCGAACAATGCTACCTCCTGCATACTTTTGTCTTTTCAATGATTTTATCTACAGACTAAGTTGTATGAGGGAATTCGTTAGGTTCGTCGCTAAGTGTGCTTGAAACATAACGGGTTCATTTTGATCAATAAATGAGAACGAAACAACAAACTAGCGACTAGGTAGGCTACCCAGATCTGCTGACTAATGAAAAGTCTTGGTGTGGCGTAGAAAGTATATTCTACAAACACCTAGCAAGCACAATGCAATCAAGCACACAAATCTCGTTTATTTATACATCATAGAAACGTCCTTGAGACACTAAAATACACAGCAGCCAATCTCAGTCAAGACTTTCCCTGGTGTGAAATGAAACCTCAAGGTCAGCTGATGAGCCCGTGCTGGCAAACGTGAACTCCATAATTAGAGCATTTATCAAGCGAGTTCTGGGGATCCAACGTCTCCAACAGAATGACTTAAAGTGAATTTATTCGTTTTGAACCATTTTTAGATCGATTAATATGCTGAATAAATGTTCCTTGTCTTTTTATCTGATCATTTTAGGTATTGCCACAATTACAGCTTTAATTCTATATCCAATTTCAGCAGAGACATGTATACATAATTTATCAAAACTTAATCTATTCAAAATAAAACCATTCGATCATACCACCATCAGTAGCATAGTTAATAACAATAAAAACAAACAATCTACCACTGAAGAAGATATATCATTGACTAATATTAAAACACAATATGGCTATACATATTTTTTAACATGGATTGCAGCGTTATTTTTTTTCAACTCATTCGTTGGCATGAATTTAGATTTATTGATACAATCATTTATTCGACCAATACCACTCATTAGTAGTATGATCAATAATGTAATGCCATGTTGTAGTCTGTCCACCGGGTCAATAACACAATCACCAGTCTCGTCTACATCGTCACATTCATCATATCATCTTCATGAATCCATGTCTAATCAACGTCGAAATCAAGTAAATGGACAGAATGTAGAACAAAGTTCTATGTCGAACAATAATAAAAATACAGCGTCTAATCCTAGTGGTAATCTACATTCTAAGCGTAAATTAATGAAATGTCAACATGAATTTGTATCATTCGATGATAGTACTACAGAGACGATTCAACATCAACCTCGTAATAAAATACCAAATATTCTCTTGAGTGATTATGATCAAATAGGTGAATCGATCGATTCACAAAATAATAAAGTGCTGCATAGAGATAATTCTATTGATGTGACTGATGAGATTTTTGTGATTTCTGACGAGATTTTGCATGATTCAGGTCAAGAAGGTGAATGGACTTAAGTGAAATCTAATTATATCAGATTAATAATGATCATAAATGATGACATAAATTATGATATGAATTCAAGTGCCTCGGACACCTTTAAAATGAGCTTGGCGCTAACTTCTTACAGAATATGCCAGAAAATGCCTAAATCCAACACGCCTAAGTAACTATTTGCCATAATTTGTTCAGTGATCACCTTTTTCAAAAAGCAACTGATCAGTAAAATACATTTATCATTTATACGCAACTAATAAGATGAATAAGGCTTCCAGTGTTGAAATCAGATGGTACCTTACGTAACGTTCTTGTTGACACATTATTTTTAGGTAATCAGATAGCAAGCAATTTATGTACATGTATATAAGCTTTTTCATCAAGATTAATTGTGATTAAACTGAATTCTTTATTTTTTTTTTCTCTCTGGAACCAAAAAGTGTCTATAACTATCTGTATATTCAAACACCGCATTATTTTGTACATCAAAATCTTTATTTTAAATATAAAAGCGATGTGATTTATGACTGTGATTTTCATTAACAAATAATTGTGTTCAATGATTGAAGGCAGTTGACAGGAAACCTTGTCTACCTTAAGTTACATGCTTTTTCAAACCTATTAACAACCCTTCCAAAGAATTTGAAACTGTGTCAGTTAGCTTTACAGATTGAGTTATTTGTGTGGTAGCTGATTTTCTGTATTGGTACAGTATTGTTCATGTACTATTGAGTTATTTAAATTCACGGCCACGTATTAACCAGATCGACAAAATCTTATCAGCATTACAAGGATTTGAAAAAGATTATACTGGTCATTACTCAGTGACCAATCAATAACTAATTGTTGTCTCGCGTATAAAAAACATCAAATTTATTATACTTCAGTAGTGTTTTGAATGTTCATTAATTAGAACAAATCATTTGTTGAACTTTGATTAAATTAAAAACCTAATCTAAATGCAAAGTCTTAAATGTTTAAAAATTTCAAGAATGAACGACCGCATATATAAATTAATCTAACATTTCAAAACTATACTGTCTTCAGATAGAGACATTTATTGATGTTTGAAAAGGGCTCCATTAAAATCATTCCACAAAAACTGTAATTATATAAGTTCAAAATTCTAATAGACCTTAGAGTTATATTATTATTAAATAAAATTATTAAATAATTTTGAATACTATAGAAATGAATATTATAACATATAGAATAATCACTTATAAGGATTAACTGAGTTTAAAATAATGTCAGAATGAAAATATGTCTTGTTACTTAGCATTTTATCAGATCAGTTAGTCAGGTACAAGATGGAAATTCGTACATAAGTACATAAGTTCAGGTTGCCATACAACATTAGCACACAGACGCAACTGTCAGTTCAAATCACATACTGGCAGCGATAGTAGAAGTATCAGCATTAATAGCGAAAATTAAGGTTCGAAGATAAGATTCGAGAAGGAGAACGGTAGAGATTTTCAGGAATTCAGAAGTTTAGAATTTAAGCGAACACAGAGTGGATATACCTGCGTCATTGCAAACGATTTTGAGCCGCGTCGTTCAAGGTCTCTTACCACCGGATAATTTCATCTCGCGGACCCTAATCAGTTAGCTTACATCTACAACATGACTCAGTCCACTTGTCAGTGACTTCATGGATTTGTTCCATGTTTTGGTTTGGTCGCCACTAGCTTTCTTCCAACTTATTCCTACATCGCAAAACATAGCTCGTCGGGGCAGTCCGTGGTTAGGCAAACGTAACACATGTCCCGACCCCCTCAACCGATGGAATTTCACTATTTCATCTATTGATCTGCCATCCCTACCTAGTACTTGTTTCCTGACTATAGCATTACTTACTCGGTTGCCCCAGAATATATCAAATTTTCATCATATGCTCACTAATAATTAGCTTTGAAGAAAAATATCCGGAGTCCTAACTGAGTAGCCATGACAAATGGAATTCATCCGTCTCAGATATGAAACCAACCGATAGAAGACAAAAGGAGATGATAGCGTAATTTCGTCGATGGACTAAAGTTAAACATTAACACCATTTTCATAATGATCTATTTATTATTGATCGATTAATAATCCCAATCAGATTTCTTTTTACTTGAAATTAAAACATTCTTTACAAAATCACATTTCCTGATCAAATATTTTCCTAGTTGTATTGTTTCTTTTTTTCAATGTTAAAGATTTTAACAAACCGAACTATTTTTGTTCGTTTTTTTTTCGTGATATTGATAATCTAATCATCTCATATGCATCAGATTTGCATATAAATTGAAACAGATTATTATAATTTAAATAAATAAAATAAAATAGATAGAAAAGTTATAATAATTATAATTTGTACAGAATAAAGATCAAAGAATACAAACACTTTACAGTAAAAAATATTAACAAATTTATTATCATTACTCCTTTTGTTGTTGTTGTAGCTGTAGTTGTTGATACGTATCCACATTATATGCATAATTTAAATGTTATTTAGTGAAAATAAATAGTTCTGAAAAAAAAAACAAAAACATACTCCGATCGGTACGATGAGATATTTATGATCCGGAACAAAAAAATGAAGAACAACTGAATTCCAATGTGTACTAGGATCGAGTATGTTGTGTTATGCGAAAAAAAAAATATGCCGCCATCTAATCAGCGCAAGTATGTCACGTTTTCAAGATTTCACAATGGTGATCATTAAAGCGGTACATATAAATGAACTATATTTTATTAGATTGTCATCAAACTGGAATCTAATGTACATGAATATTGATTTATATATATGAGTTAGTGATCACAATGAAATAGATTAAACAACTACACATAGTAGGTTAAAGGTAAAATCGAACATTATCAGAAAATACGTATGCTAGTATTGAAAGTACTGTGGTGTGAGCTACTTATAAGTAGTATATGACGTGAGTGTCAACGTAATGTCTAGCAGCAGAATATGGGGGAAGATCAAGAAAGGAAGAGTTAGAACACAATGGAATTTGTATGAAACGCATGAATAATGACAATGGATTGATGTTTTGAAACAGGAACAGTCCAGTTCAATATGATGAACTGATATTTTGCAAATTAACGATTTACGATATGGTTTTCCAATTTTACTGAGTAACTCTGTAATTTTCGATAAATACAATTCGGTTGCCCCCCACCTGTGTTCTCGTTCACTACAGTACTAGTTAGTAGTTCAGTAATGGAACTTGGATAGACTTTCAAATCGTAATCACAAATTAATAATAAAATTTGTTGGAGATGTTAAATCCCCAGAACTCACTTGATAAATATCTTTATTTCGAGTTGATTTCATGGACCGATCAGTTGACCTTGAGATCACATTTCCCACCAGGAAAATCCTTGGCTGTGATTGGTTACTGTGTCATTTTAGTGTGCTATTTTTGTGACTGTCCAAAGGACGTTTCTATGGAGTATAAATAAATGCCATTTGAGTGCTTGGATTCATTGTGTGCTTGCTGGGTGTTTGTAAAATACAATTTCTACACAATATCAAGACTTCTTGCTGATTCAGCTTGGTCAAGGGATGACAGTCGCCTACCTGGATGCTGGTTCATTGTTTTGTTCGCGTAACTCGACTAAGGTGAACCCGTAATAGTTTTAAGCATACATTGAGACGAGCATAAAAAAATTATGTCATACAACGAAGAAATTCGTACGTACATACATAATTTCAGGTCGCTATAGCACATTAGCACAAAGACGTAATTGTGACTTCCAATCCCATAGTGGCAGAGATAGTAGAATTATTAGCCCGAGCGCAGCTGCTATCTTGAGGTGGTAGTCAGGATTGCCTGTCGTGATCACCCAACCCAGTTATATCGGCTAGAACATATGTTCCTGTAGGTTCTACCATGCCGACTGGTAGTTTAAAGAGCTGAATAAGAAAAACTTCCTAGGTATAAACAGACACTATAAACAATAGAATTAACACGTTCGTAAACCTGATAAGTACAGTCAATTAAACGATCAACGATCCTCTCCCTCTTGATAGAACCAAGCTAAAATATATTCTTGTATGTGCATGCAAACGGTCAATATACTTTGCTCCAAATAAGCAAGAAAACAGTAAAATCTACAAAGAGGTTACCAAACAGGAAGGGATAATTTATATATATATATATATATGGAAATGAATTTTGAAAAAGAATTTTGAACATACATAAAACTAAAACCATGACAAACCTCAGAAATCAATTTTGTGTAGGCTTTCAGTCAGGTAGTTAGTTCTATGTTCAGTTACAAATTACGCCCAAATGATTAACGTACTGGAAAAACAATAAATAAATAAGCCAAAATAGGCACACTTTTGTTTATTGGACATGCAAATAAAAAATAGTTAAACTGTATCAATAATTGACAAATAGTTTATTGACCGGATATAATAAAATGCATGAGAAAGCAAAATAACAATCAATAGTCAAACAACAGTTTATGAAATGCAACAACTGATTCAATTGTTGGATTGACGCCAAAACTCATTGATTTCAAATCTAATTGGAATTATTTTATTTCAAAAGGAAAGTTGTACAACGACTCTTGTGTACAACAATAATCTTGAAGCATTAAAATGAATATAACTAAAATTAATATCAATTATTTGTCATGTATGAGATATGTACAGATAAGTGAAATATAAATTTTTAATTTTGTGTTAGATGTTACTTATAAGTAGTAGTTAAAATATATATTTATCGATCAAAAAAACAAAAGGCGTTTTCTGTATATGAATAATGTTAATGCATAGAAAATAACGCTTTCATGCTAATTTTTAGAACGAATAATATAGGAATTCATCAGATTTCTCTACTTTCTAACTGGAACCGAAATACAAATATATCAATTTTATTATATAGTTGTGAAGACTGCAAAGTTTGATTGAAATCATGAAACGATCATTGTTAGACCGTCAGTAGAAACATGAAAGCACTGGACTGCCGTTTTGTCCTAGTACGGTACTTATCACTGGTAGGTCAGTGATCTAGATGTTGACTGTTCGCACGAGAGAGCCAAGATCCTGGGTTCGATTTCCGAATGCGGAGGTAGTAAATGCGCACTGTTGATGAGTCCCACACTAGGACGAAACGGCCGAACAATAATTCCTTGTTTACAATGGCAGTCTAAAAATAAACGATTCATAATTTCAATGAAACAAATATATCAGTAACTTTCAAATAAACTTCATACGATTTAAAAATTTTCTATTTGAATCACAACAGCTGTCAATCAAAAATTATACAATTCATAAGTTTGTAAATAATTTGAATTTGGAAATTTATGTAAATCATGTCGACCAGTAAAAGAATTTGTTAGTCAGAGTTGCATAATTCTAGAATCTATCGATCCTTCTTTCGAAAACAACTGGACCCTAAAAGTTTTGAAATAAAGTTCAGAAATC